TCTTTTTCCTCCTCTCTTCTTCTTGTTCATCGCGTGGAGATGAGCAATGCGCACGGATGGATGCACGAAAAGAACGTATACATGCGGGAGAGGACGGAAGAGGAGAGGACAAAACGAGGGGAGAAAAGTATCGATGAGGAAGAAAGGCAAAAAGAGAGAGAAGGAGAGAAAATAAATGTGGGAAGCTCGTATAGAGCAGCCGGTGAGCATCGCTAGAGGCTTCGCTCTCTCTCTTCTTCTCTTTCCTCTGCTCAACTCTTCTTCTTCTTCTTCTTCTTCTTCTCTTCCTCCTGTTGCTCTTCGTCGGTCTGCGGCGAGCCGCAGATCATTCGTATCAACATAATTACAAGCTCGGGAGCCGCCTCTCTGTTTCTCTCACCTCGCTCCACCCATCACGACGTAACACACGATCGCTTTCGCGCCCCGGTGAAACCTTCGTCGTCGTCGTCGTCTTCTTCTTCTTCTTCTTCTTTCCCGTCGTCTTTTGCTGCTTCTTCGGCGTTTCTTCCGACCGTGGATTCCTGATCGTTGCCGCCGCGATCATTGTCGCAGATTCAACGAGTTCTTAAAAGACTCCGATAATCGTTAAATGTCATTAGTAGAATCTGTATACTAAACGAGATAATTCAAATATTTTGGCGAAGAAAAAAAGGATTTTTAACTCTTTTTTTAAAAGTAATGCGGAAATTTGAGATTAATCCATTTAACAAATTTTAAGAAACATATAGAGATTATATTTAAATCGAAATTTAAAATCTTTTCTATAATAAATTTATTAATGATTTTTTTTCTATATATATCGAATTCTTATAAAAGACTCCAATAATCGTTAAATGTCATTAGTAGAATCTGTATACTAAACGAGATAATTTAAATATTTTGGCGAAGAAAGAAAGGAATGATTTTGTACTCTTTTTTAAAAGTGATGCGGAAATTTGAGATTAATCCATTTAACACATTTTAAGAAAAATATATAGAGATTATTTAAATCGAAATTTTAAATCTTTTCTATAATAAATTTATTAATAATTTTTTTCTATATATATCGAATTGGAATCTAAAAGATTCCAATAATCGTTAAGTTTAATGTCATTAGTAGAATCTGTATATTAAATGAGATAATTCGAATATTTTAGCGAATAAAAAAATAAATTATTTTTAGTTCTTTTTAAAAAGTGATGCAGAAATTTGAGATTAACTCATTTAATACATTTGAATAAAAATATATTATTGAAAGGTTTGAAATCTTTTCGATAATAAATTTATTAATGATTTCTTTTTCTACATATCGCGTCCATATAATAAAAATATGATATGCTAATGCGAAATAAAATGCGTAATATATGTTGCGTTCATTAAAATTGATTGCATTTTACCTGCCTTTACAAATTGAATTTGTGACCATAAGTGTCATTGTATACACGAGGCATTCCGTACTTTCGTCTGTATTATAGTGCGTCTGGTTTCTCGTTTTGTTTCACAGGGCTAAAGGGCGTCGCGTGTTGCCGCGGTTGCGCTCAATCGCGCGCAACAGTTGCGACGCAAGTGACCCGACGCGGTACGTGTAACAACGCAAGGCAGCCGTCGCCATAACGAAGCGGACCATCAGCAGAGCGGAGTGCGACAATAGCGACGTGCTCCCGCTGCTGGACCAAGAGAGGAGAAAGAGAATGAGAGAGAAGGTGTTAGTCATGGAACGAACCAAGGCTTTAAAGCGGCCGCATCTGAGAATAATTGCTCGCTGACAGGCCGTGAAATGAATTTATTTAATTTCAGATAGAGGTATAACAGAATTACACGGCAGTTGGAGGTGCGATGAAGTCTGGGTGGTGTATATCGACTAAAGAAAGGGGTGCGGATGGGAGTGGCGCGCGGTTGTTGGACCCTGAAAAGTCGCCAAACAAATGCGAAGGACAAAAGTCCGCGAACTTGCGTTTTCTCATCGTATATAAAGAACGATATTGAGAATTCGCGTATATCTTCTTTCGAGAAAAATCATCAAATTTTTTATCAATCATTTTTCAATTTTAATATGCCCGTCAAAGAAATTCGTAAAAAATTAAATTGACATGCATAATAAATTGATTATATTAATTACGCATTGTAATTATGTTCATTTATGTTTATAGTGATTGGGTCCTGTAATTGTTTTAAATTCTGCATATTGCAGCTTATTATTCAACATTATATCAATCCATATAGGTATTATATGTACATTTTGATATAGACATTAATAAATTCAAACATAAGTTTAATCCTTCATGAAAATATGTTCATTGGGGTTTAATCAAGAATTAAATCTCAATGAAATAATTTCTCGATAACGACAAATAATTTATTTATAAGATAGTACAAAGAATATATATAAATAATATGAAGAAGGTAGATTGCGGAAAAGATAGCGCAGAAACGCGAGTGAGTAATCTCGGAGCAGATTAATAAAAATTCATTTATTTTCGTCGTGCTACATCGAGAAATACGGCGCTCAACTACTCACTACCATAAAAGGTTTCTTATATACACCGCCCTGTGACAAAGACGTATTAATACTATCGCGGTATATAATACAAATATATGTCGAATATTTTTCTTCCATTCTTTCTATATCGCACTCTCACGCTCGTTCACATTTGCATTTACAACATTTACACGTACATTCGCAGCTGTCACGTCACGACATAAATTTTTATTTTCGTTCTAATGCACGTGGAATTATTATTTACAAATTGATCGAGATCGAAAACGGAATAGAAAAATCCATGTCTTCGGGATTCCTCTTTCCGTTACTCACAAACAATCCCTACGAATGATATTACGCAATCATACTGAGTGAATTAATTATGAAACACACGTCCTGCCGCTGAACTATACATATATATTTACGGCAGGACATAAAAATTCTTATAATATTGACAACGCGAAGGATAAATCCCTTCTTCGCACATATCATCACGGTTATTCGAATTTTCGGATTTTGTATTCCCTACAGATCTTTGGATTATTCTACTTCTCGATATTTACAGGAATCTTATAGATACTCTCGCGAATCTTACATACGAAATAAATTCTATGAATACGTACAAGTTTTCGAAATCTTTTATACGTTCACCCCGCTCATAATATTAATGAAACACGTGTGTGTACACAGAAAATTACATTTAATATCATAAGTATATCTAATATGCCTATACACGGTCCTCTCCATTAACGCTAGGCGCTATAGGGATAGTTCTTCGATTGCGCCCTGGATGTTAAAAAAAAAAACACAAACATTAAGAACACTGGACAGGCTTAAGCTCATCGTCGCAAACGCATTACGATGCGTCATATCGCATATATTTCGCGATATAGAACTAAATGACACTTATCATGAAATTAAAAGCTGTAACGAATCGAGAAGAAGTTTCAGTCTGACATGAGTGACGTATCTGTATTTGAAGATTTAAAAATTAATATTTTCAAACACTTAACACAAAAATTGAATTTGTAAAAAGACATATAAAACAAGAGTTTATTATTTTGAAGACTGTATATTTGAAATAAATAATAGTTATTACAGATAGGGCGAAATATATAAATAATAGCATGCAATTGTGTAATAAGAGAGAGAGAGCGAACAGTTAACACGCCATAAATATGAGAAGGATATCTGAAATCAAGAAATATATGAAATAAAGATTAATAAAATTTTGAAGAAATACGAAGCAATAAACGATGAAGTGACTGCAATAACATCGATAAAATAACATCCGTAAAAAATGTATATTTTTGTGTTATATAATTTTCTGCTATATTACAAAGTGACTCTATATGATTAACAAAATTAATAGTATATACATTAAATAATAATAATAATGGAAATAATAATTATTAATTATATATATTATATATAATAATTAATAATCATTAACATAAATGGCATTTATATACATATGTTTAAATATTATATATGTAGCAGAAATAGAAGTACACATATATAAAAAAAATATAAAAATATAATAAAAATATAAAATAATTTTCTCTTTAAATTAACATAATGACTATGTAACAAAATAATTAACAGAAGTCAAAGAAACTTTAAAATTTGTTAACACTTACCGTCATTAGATCCAGCACCGGTTCGAAATAATTTAAAAGATGATTTATATTATGTATATGTATGTTGCATGCAATATATAAATCATTGTAATTAAAAATCATGTCTTAAAGAAAATAGAAATAATCTTTGAAATATTTCTTTATATGCTTACTAGACAATGATAAATTTAATTTATCTAACCAAATGAGAACACAAAGAAAAGAGAAGAATAGATTTTAGTATTATATAATAAATTCAATATTAATTATTATGTATTCAATGTTTTATTGAGGCTCCACAGCACACAATTTCGTATTATTTCTTGTATTAATTGTTATATGCTTATATTAAAATTACGATATCGATACGTTATAATAAACACGAGTAGAAAAGTGAATCAAATTAAAGTGATATCAATATTTTAAACACATCTAGACCGCATATAACACAATATATAATAGTGCTATATAACTGTATTACAATACATATAATATATATTGTATATTTTATGCAATATATATAATTTAATATACTGGGTGATTCCAAACAACCTGATGTCCTGGAATTTTTGCAATCATGTATCTTCGTAATTAAGCCTTAAATTAAAATTCTATTTAAGTAAACTCTACATAAAATTAATAAAAAAAAATGTAATTTTGTTAATATTTTGTTTCCACAAGGCTTAGTTTGCGAAAAACCCCTTATTTTCAAACGCTTATAGCTCGAAAATGATTGATGTCTCTTTTTCGTTGAAGAAAAATCGTCTCGGAATTTGTTCAAAAATATGATATTTCCAGGACATCAAGTTGTTTTGAATCACCTTGTATATTATATAATATATACAATATTATATATATATATATATTATATGATATATATATATATTATATGTATATATATATATATATTATATGATATATATATTATATATATTATATTATATTGTTATATTGTACAATATAATATAAGCAGTTTAGACGCGTTTAAAATATTGACACTGCCATTTTAATTATCCGATTCAGATTGCCTTATTCGTATATAACCATATAACAATTGAAGAAGTGTCACTTACTTCCACATTGCGTCGTCATTCGCGATCCGAATCGATGATCAAACGCATGCTCAACCATCGGAATATGGGCTCGATTCCGATTCCCTGATCACAGACAAATGGAGGAGGAACGACAATGTCGTGGTCGACGAGTCGGCGGGGATCGCTAATTGGGGGTGGACGGGCGTGTCCGCAGCGGCGGGGGTGTACTGGCCCTCGGTGGATAGGGCGCGTATCTGACTGAGGGAGCGGTGGGAGAGGATCGTCGCGAGATCATCGCGACTGGGGGTGGTGGCGGTGGTTGCCAGGGCCACGGCAGCGCCGCCGAGTAAGGGAAGCCGGCGGCGGCGACCGCGGCGCTGGAATAGGGCGAGGGCGAGCCGGCGGCACCCCTGGCGCCATACAAAAGCGCCGTCGACGGTAGCCAGGGCGACAACGCGTTCTCGTTTAATTGTTGCTGTTGCTGCGCGGACGGCTGATGATGCTGCGACTGCTGCTGCTGCTGCTGGACATTCAGTGCCGCGGCGACCGCCGCCGACGAGGACGAGATCGCGAGATGCTCGTAGAGTCTCATCGGGGCGACGCCGCATCTCACCAGTTGTTGCTCCATCAGTTCCATAGGATCTCTAGAATCAAGCCAAGACAAAGGGAATATATATATATATAATCGACGCGAATTCAATGAATGGTGCATAGAAAAAACAGTATTCTTGAGAGAACGCAAATATGCCTTGATTCAAGTATATTTTAGTCTTATAATAGCGCCAAATATAAATAATTTTGTATAAAGGATAATTTATCCTTAAAACAAAGTGCAAAATATTCTTGGTTGAAGGTAAAATTTACTTATAAATATTGCAAGGACAAGTGACAAGTGTGCATCGAATATATAAGGGGTACTTTCAAATATATATAATAATTCTTAGTTCAAATGTGACTAAGTTTGTTTTTACCATATGCGATTTTTAATACAAGAATATATCTTAAGGATAAAATATACTTTACACAAACTCATTTATTATTAAGGCAAATAAAAATTTGTGATTACAAAGAGCATTCTATGTTTAACTTAATCAAATAGCGTTCAAGAATAAAAATATACTTGAATCAAGGATTCCTTTTTTCTGTGTGTGGATGTTTAAAATCTAGAGCAAATCTCCCCTCGATATTTATTATTTATTACACATAAATGATAAGTATCTTGTATATCATAAGAGGAACAAAAAATTTTTTATTACTCCTAAATTTAGAAAAATTAATGCTTGTGCGTCAAAATTAAAAATTTGAAAAAATGAAAATAATTAAATTAAAAAAAATTAAGACGAGAAAAAATAATTAAACCTCCTCCTGGAAAAAATGTTGCGGACGCCCATGCTCTTTCTCCCTTCCTATCTGGAATTTTTTTTTCTTTAAAGAATGCATTATAAATTGCAGTACTTGTTTATTTAAAATCTAAGGTACAAATCTGAGAATCAGCGCTCGTTCGGCGCTACAGGATTAGACGAGGAATCGAACGAGCGCTGCGCTATTGTGTCGAGAGGTCGCAATCCTTTGCGAGATCTCGCGCGGGGCGAGCAAATAAATCCTGTAGAGCCGCGGGAACAGCGAGACAGCGAGATAAAATCGTCCATCCTTAAGGCGAGAGAGGCGGCTCTCGCCGGTCGGCTGATTAATCGATCGACGTTATCGGCATTAATAGCACTTAAAAGGGAGTAAATCAATGAGATTCCTTTACGAACAGAGTCGAGATAGACAAAGAGAGAATGGCAGATAATTAAGACGGGCTTTTCTCTCATAGAGACGTACGAATAAAGAAGGGAGGGAAGAGAGAGGGACCAAACGATGGGGATCGCAAGAACCTTCTTCCCCTCTTCGTAACAAACGTGATGGATGATTTCGTGCGTTAGGCACGGGCTTAATTAGGGTTAATTACGGACGATTGTACGCGGACGCGCCTTCGTTGCTTCGTTACTATCGCGGTAGAAACGCTAACGAGCGGATTATTGGCCGATCGCGAATGAAAACGCGTCGCGAATGACGAGAGGATCATTCTGCATTTATACCTCTCTTTTCACGCCGACGATAATTAACGACGAAGTCTCATTGCGCGCGCGCAGAATCGCGACGAGTCACTTCCTACTTTCGTGATTACGCGCGGGAGCGGCGTTTAAGGATACGCGGATTATCGGCCGGTCTATCTCAATTATTAAGACTTCATTACGATATCGCGAAGCCGCGTGGCGAGATAAAGAGAGAGGGACTTCTTAATTACTTTCGATTTCAAGCCTGCCGAGGTAAGACCGATTGTGCAAAGCGGGACCGAACAAGCGAATCAGAATGCTCAGATGGATCCTTGACGTGGGCTGAAGAAGTTCCAGTCGTTTTACGCCATTTAAAGTCAACGAGAGTCGAATCGTTTTAACGCTGGAAAGATCGAGGCTCGTATATTTCTAGTCATTATAGGAATAATCTCTCATCTCAAGAGCGCGTATTATATACGCGGAATGAAATATCACATTTTGAAAGGCGCATGGTTCAATAATTGCGATTTCGATAGTCACATTAGAAATCATCTAACACAGTTTAACCATCAGAATCATTATTCGCATCGATCCTTAGTTGAGATTCAAGAGATGAAAGCAATGATATGCATTTTGATTTAAAACTAGATTTTTTTCAATATCGATATGTGTATAGAAATCTTACTTTTAAAAAACATTTAATGAAATTTATATACGCACATAAGTATAATTTTCATAAAAATTTTCAAATATAAAAATGAGAGAATAGTTCCTCTTGACGCTAAATGCTCAATTTTATAAAAGGATCTGAACAAACTTTCCCATATTTTGAAGCTGTCAATTTACAATAGTCTGATTTAACGAATGTTCTATTTGAAAAAAAAAGATATAAAAAATATATCGCTCTTTAAAATGAAAATTATGTGGCCAACGAAATTTTCGTATATATAATTAGGCACTCCTTCCAAGATTAAATATGTGTTGCTGCAAGTCTCACATCTTGTCTGTTTCGTTTTAAATCTCAAGATGAAGGCAGCATCGATAGATGACTGTCAGTTCTTCGCGGTTCTCGGAAGCCAAGTGGTTGTAAGAGATAACTTGATACAGTAGTATCCTAGCCAGATACTAGTGTATCAAGTTATCTCTTACAAATTTGAGCATGGGCCGCCCACGAATAATACCTCCAATCGATCATCCAGTTCCACGAACCGACATCGTGATATCCGAAGACGCCTTTCGCAACCGTTCAATAACTTAGCATTTCGTGCATGAAATAATTTAGAGATGTACATAATAAAAAGACTCCGGATATATATTTGTCCCACCCACATTTTATATCGTATATCTTTCATTGGAAATTAATTCTTATACAAGTATACATTTTTTAAAATTTTATTTAAGAGATAGTAGAAAAATTGTGAAAGATTTATTCAACACAATTTAATTGTTTTGTTCACAAATAAGAATGCTAAAAAGAAAAATATCAAATATCTTGTATTCTTTGAAAAGATACAAGATGTTTGTTTCAGAGGTACAAACGATTAAAAATCTAATCGATTAATATTAATATAGCCGATTAATACATTATTTCATTGTTAGGAATTCTAAAAGAATGTGTACACATTTATTTTTTACCCTTAAAAAAATGTTCAAAACTATATAACACTGACGTTATAATCACGTGTATAAGTAATTAAAATGAATAAAATTTGATGCGAGTAACTGAATTAACAATAAAACAAATCACGTATGCGATAAAAAAAGTCAATGAACAGATGGACACGTAGTAAATGATTTAAACTAAAAGTTGTGAAAAAGTATCGACATATCTTCTTTAGTTTCTATTTGCGTATCGCATTTTGTCAATGATGTTCGCTCTTCAAAAAATGAGATAACGCGAGAAAAAGGAAACAAGAAGAATAAGAGAAAGAAAGTCCGAAACGTGAATGAAAGTACACCGACGTTATAATCGCGCGTGTGAGTAAAACTGAACGAAATACATTTGTGTAAATAGTTGAATCGAGATATCATAAATCACTGCGCGAAACAAACTCGATGACAGGTGGGTCTCATGTAGTAGCTAGATTTCACACTTCGAGGTGCGATGTGAGACACCTAAACGACTGAAAGTTGCGAAAAAAGTGTCGGCGCGGCTTTTTTACTTTTTATCTGATCGAGTTTCGTCGATGCCGAGCGATGCTCGAGCTCTCGAGTGTGCCTTATAAGGAAATAGAGATAACGCGAGAAGAGCACAAAGAGAGTAGGAAGGAGACACGAATAGAGAATCCGAGCACGTGTACTCGAACGCCAATAAGATCAGACGTTTCGCTAGTCAACGAGTCTTCCTCTTTTCTATTGGTTCGAGACGCGAAATTATTGGTCATACTCGAGGAGGTCTCGAGTCGGATTATTTCATACTCGAGGAGTCCGCGCGGATTATTTAGGTCAGGGAATTCTACATGTCATTGATAAATCGAGAGACGTGCCATGACAATGACGTGCGGCTGACAATGCATCTCTATACGATTTTTTCTAATTATAAGAATAGACCGACTACAATTAGTGGCTACCGAGCGATGACTCTGCAGATTAATTACGCATATGTATTAATTAATATTAATATACACAACAATTAAACAGCTACTGATAGTCTCAATTATAAGAAAAGCAATGCAAATCTCAGTGAAATCTTATCAAAAGAATTAATTATTACACGTACATTTACGCACAATTAATTTACAGCGTGAAATTCGTTCTTAACAATTTCGCGATTTATGATATAATTGTATTTTAATCGAAAAATAATTGTATGAATATTAAAATCGAAATTTAGGAAAAGAGTAGAGACGAAAAGGAGGAAATAAAGCTTTTCTTAACATATGCATTAATAATTAATACATATGTTAAGAAAAGTTGTACTTCCTCCTTGCCATCCTTTATTCTTTTTCTAAATTTCGATTTTAATATCCATACAATTATTTTTCGATCAAATTTTATACAATTATATCACAAATTGCGAAATTGTTAAGAACAAGTTTACGTTGCAAATTGATTGTATGTAAATGCACATTTAATAATTATAATTCTTTCGACGAGGTTTCACTGATTTGCAGTGATTTTCTTTGAATTGAGGCTTTCGCGGTGACTGTTCATTGCTTTTCAATAATAATACATCGATTCCGTTTAAGAGAATAGAAAATGATTAGTTAATCAGCTTGTATAGGGCAATCGTCGTTCGTGGGACATTCGACGCGAGCATAAAGCACTTCATCATCTCACGCGACCAATGTCGTCGGACCGTACAATTCAATCCCTACCAGACTTCGTAATGATTCTCTCCCTGTGGACCAGAGCCGGGGACCGACTCTCGCGGGTCTAGTTACCCTAGGGGTCACACCGAGACAGGCGACACCCAGCCAAGGAGAGAAGGGTTTCGTTCGGTAGTTGCGAGCTGGCACGTCGACGACGAGAGCCCTGGCTCGTAAAGTCGTAAAATCGTGGTGTGAAGGGCGAGACAAAATCGCCGTGACTGTGCACAAAAAATATAAGAGAGCTGCGAGAAATGAGATCTGTTAAAAGAGACTCGGCCGCACTAGATTTACAAC